TTTTTATGTTTGTTACTCTCTTGTGACACCTCTAATTTTCTGGCGCTCATATGACCTTATGCAGTTGCTAGCGCGTAAAACCTCTACTAAAACTTACTGTTGTGCTTTAACTCAGCTAATCTCATGGGCGATCAGTCAAGATTGTAGGTTGTATAGGTTTAACATCTAATTGACTTGTTCATTTAACCAGCACGTTTACGAATCTAACGTTCATCACCGACAGAACTGACCCAATTCGTTTTGTGAGCCATGAAAACTCCCAGAACCAGCCAAGCTCAGCAATACCCCTTTGGGTTTTAAACCAGAGTCATTCGTATGGTAATGCAGCATGCCTACTTCCCTAACGGAACTCCTTCTGGGCATTTTTGCGGGTGTGATAGGTCCTACTTCTTTTCTGTTCCTGTGTTGTATACGTCTGTCTTTGTGGGTGGTTCGCGGGTGCTATGGTGTTGTTCTTTCTTTCCTACCAGACATCTTATCGTCCGTGTCTCCCCTCCTTTAGTTTGTATGTTACACTTTTAATCTTCAGCATTTATATAACCTAATTCTGTTGCAAGTGCCATAAAAGACTTACTTAAACTAAATGTATGTATGTCTTGTTTTTTTTCAGTACCAAATTCCTTTATTGTGTTGCTGTGCGCTTCTTTACTCAAACTAGCAGGCCTTGTCATAGCTTCTGGAAAGCTGGAAAGTCCCCCCTGCGCCATGTGGCGTAGTTTTTGACGTTTGAGCTCAGCAGAGGGCGGTAATTGACCATCTGCTATCTCGCCATCTTAGCGGCCGAGTGTCGGTATTGTCGCGTTAGTACGTCAGAAATCCCATCAATTAGCTGTGACGTAGTTCGGGGAACCACAGGTGGTTCTCTCATTACAGGGCGTGGGACGGCAAAGCCTTTTGGTCGAGACAGGGGAACCGGCGTCTGTGGTGGAGCGGTTAGGCGCCTTGCTGTTGTGCGCAGGAGACCCGGGTTCAGTTCTCGTGTGGGGAGAAATTTTTGGGTCGTTTTATCGATTATCTCGGTTTTTCTATTGGGATATGCGGGATCCCTCTCAGCCTGGGCTGGAAGTCCGCCTTCTAGATGGTCTAAATTGTGTCTATGGTGACGTAGAAACACCTCCATTAAGAAAACTAATAGGGTTGTGTGGGGTGCCTCCCAGCAGACACTCGAAAAGCTGTCTTCCCCTCTTTGGAGTCGAACAAGCGAACTTTCCATGAAAGGCAAAGAGTGAGACCAATACGCTGCAAACTCTGGCCAAAGAAACGAATGTCAATTATTATTCTAATTTGAATTATGTTTTGCTTTACATCAACAAACACATGACTGTTGGAATGCGAATTTATTCGTGTTTCTCT